CTAACATTCTGGCCTAGAATGTTCATAGGAGGAAGATTATGCATTTGAGAGGGGAGAAGTACACTTTCAGCTCAATTTTTCTCTGAACTTAAAGTACTTCAAAAACATAAAGTATGTTTTTTGATGGGAAGGAATTATTAACTCCAGGAAGAAATGTTATATAAGAAAGAAATTGCTCTCATAATTCAAAACTCAGCTCAGCCATAAAAATATTTATATGGTCATAAATTTTATACTATTGATTTAATCAAATTTTAGAGAAAATTATGCAGAATTGTCAAAAATAGAGAAGTCCATGACCCAAGCTTTCTCATTCATACCTTCTAGAGGAATAGATGGATAAATAGTTTAATGATGATATAATAATATAAATATGGCATAATATATATAAAATGAAAATAAATACCTTAAGAAACAATTCCAAACAAATGAATATTATTGTTTTTCAATAGGATACTTGGAAATGGCAGAAACTATGGACAAATAATGCTATTTTGGTTATTAATTTTATGAGAAGTATGCTTTTTTAGCTACATGTTAATAGTGGGAAATAAAATAGGTAATACAAAAAAAGTGAAATGTAGTGCCTGTCATCCATGCAATCTCATTCTGATAATCCTTAGCTATCAGACTTTAGCATTATAGGTTGAACTGTGCCCCTTCCTGATTTGTATGTTGAAATCCCAACTCCCTGTACAAGCAAATGTGAATTTATTTGGAAATACAGTAATTAGGTATAATCCGTTAACATTATTTTGGTCCACGGAGTTTTAAGTAAATAGGAATGAATTGCTTGTATAGAGGGAGTATTTGAACACAGTCCATGAGATAGATATTCTGAGAAATGAGAGCAGAGATCATGGTTACACTTTGGGAGTGTCAAATGCAACCATTATGTCACCAAAAGCTTGGGCAAATACTGTCCCTTGTTGCTTAGAAGAAACCACATTGACTGCACCTTGAGAGCAGACTTCAAGCCTCTGGAACAACACAACGATAAATTTCTCAATTCCTGAAGTCAAGCTGTTTACAATACTCCACTACAATAGTGCAGGTTTTATGCTAGAAAGAACTAGGCTAGCAATATGTCTCAGTTGATAAAGTGCTTGCCTTATAAGCATGAGTAAGAGCCCGTATTTGATTCCTATCGTCAATTCCAAAAGAGGAGGCAGACTTTCTTGCCACTCAGTCTAATCTAACCCCCATCTCAGGAAAAACACTTTTAAATTTGGAGCGAAATCAAAGGTACCATTCAAATATATTGCATTTATATTGAAAATATGTTGAGATTGTCTTTTAATGCCATGGTACTAGGAAAGAAAGGGTTAAATTTCACCAGTGAGATAGCACAGCAGATAAAGGTGCATGTTTCCAAGAATGATAAGTTAGGTTTGATCCCGGGAGATCACATCCTGGAAGGTGAGAACTGGCTCCTCTGACCTCCTCATCTATACTCCTATACACATGTACAGACAGACAGACAGATAAAGTTTCTATAATAGTGTCTGATTGATAGGGCTTGTTTTGATTCCCTTATTGCCAACATGTCGGACTGAGTGAACTGAGATATTTATGTGTAAGACAAATTGCTAAACGGTCTTATTAATATAAAAAAAATGGAGCCAGATATTGGGGTAAAAACTGAGAGATCAGGGAAGTAGAAAGAAGCCAGCCACATTCTTACCACTAGATATCCTCAGCTAAAAAGAGGGATACTGGATACTTCCTGTATACTCACACCTATATGCCTTCTCTGCTCTGCCCCCAAATAGTTGGAAGTAGTATGAGAAGCTAAGCCCAAATTCCCAAAATAGTTTATAAATGTTTATTTTTATTTAAAGGAGGTTGATTATAAATGCAATCTCTTTTTAAAAGAAAGAGAAAGGTGGAGTCTGGGGAGACGTGAGCCAGTCGCCCAAGGAGCAACATGTAATGGGCCACAGGTAAAGCCATGGAACCCATGGCAAAACATAGTTTAATAGAAATGGGTTAATTTAAGATGTAAGAGCTAGCTAGAAAGAGGTCTGCCATAGACCATACAGTTTATAAATAATATTAAGCCTCTGAATGATTATTTTATAAGTGACTACAAGACCGTGGGGCTGGGCAGAACCTGAGAAACCTTTCAACTACATTCATGTTTTGGCTTTCTAGATGCCTTCATCTATTACATCCATTGCCTCTTATATTTTAGCTATGTTTTAATGATGTATAGGTGATCATGACAAATCTCTCCTCTCCTCCATTTATATTAGTATTTAGAATATAAACTGATAAATTAATGCTGCTAATACTAGGAACTCTACTATACATAAACTCTGCTTATGTCAGTGCCTTAGTGTAGGTCTTTTGGAAGCTGTGGAGACCAATTGCACTGATGTGCTGAGAGTTTCCAAGGGAGAAGGGGTTTCACAGAAGAAGTGCTGACAGCCTCATGCTTAATAAAATAGCCAACAACCAGATTCTCAACATCGTGGTCTGGGCCCTAGTTCCTATCTGAAAAGAATGATCATCCTGACAAACTAATGCATGATTGTTTACTAAGTTTTGTTAAGTTTTTGTATGAGAAGTAAGTCTTGCCCCAAAAGATGAAGAGCAAAAATGCAGATAGCCAGTATTTCGCTTTTGTAAAATCGTCTCCACCATCCTTTCAGATGGAACCTCCAGTCTAAGAACGATTTCCTGTGAGAAGAGGAGGACTACTGAGATCCTGAGCTAACTGCACTAAGAGTACTAGCTATCAGAGATGTTTTCAAGCTGTTTTCTTTTGTCCTCCTTATCACTGGTGATCCCTGTAGCTTTCTTTGGTAACTAAATATTAAATGAGGACTACTGAGAAAGAAGCAGAGAACATTATTCTTTCCTCTTATAGCTGACCCTGAAAACCTACCCATTGTTCAGATTCTGACTCGGTTGCAACCAGATCAAAGACGTGACAGATTTCCTGTTTCTTTGAAATAAGAACTCGTCTGAAGTGACTGTCATTTCCTAAATGGTCACTTTTAAAAGTGGAAGTAGCTGGTCAGGGCCGGTGGTGCACATCTTTAATTTCAGCACTTGGAGAAAGAGGCAGGTAGATCTCTGTATGTTCTCAGCCAGGTCTGGGGTATATATCCAGCCCCAGGCCAGCCAGAGCTACACAGTGAGAAGTTGTTTCAAAACAAAACAAAAGTTGCTTTCTAGCCCTGGAATAAGATGTTCAAGTTTCACTCAAAGTTAACCCCCACTCCATAGGAAAGGTGTGTGTGTGTGTGTGTGTGTGTGTGTGTGTGTGTGTGTGTGTGTGTGTCCTTCTGTTTTTCATAACCATGCATTTCCTAATTAGCAATTATTGTTCCTACTCCTTCAGGCCTGAGTAGCAAATGAGAAGAGTTAAGGGGACAGGGAAGCTATGTAGGCACCAACAAGACTTTTGGAGGATTATCAAACTGACTTGCTCATGGTAAATTGTTGGACACTTCAGAAAGTGTCTTACATTAAGTGGCTCAGCAGCAGGCACATGACTGTCGGTTTCCCTGCTCTACTTTTTTGTATTACTTTTCTTTCTTTAAAACCTGGGAATATGAGGCAGGAAAGATTCAGCTGTTATTGCCTTGCTAACAGAACTTCTATTGTTGGAAAGCCGTGGGAAACAGCCACAGTTAACTCTCTCATGGTGGACCACAAATTTCTCCCAAAGTTCTTTACTTTGAACCTGTCTTCTGTAGCAATATACTTATTTCCCAAAACCATCATCATTTTTTGTTTGGTCACTTAGCAGATGGCTTTAGCTGTAAGCTTTATTTTGAGACTTATTAAATCTGAGTCAGTAACCACCAGCTCTTTGTCTCCAAGTTTCCAAGGAAGAAGGAATACTCTCTTCCATCTTTACCTGATTAATATGGGGAAGACAGTGACACCATAGCATATTTTTCTCCACTGGGATCCTCTCTACAGTGTATGGGTTCTTCAGCTATAACTTAATCCTTAGTGTTTTCAGCATGAGTCAGTGGCTCAAGGTCACAAAACCTTGATGAGCAACTCATTCTGGAGTGAGAGCAGTTTGCTCCTATTATCCCATAGCTCCATACCACCTACACTGAAGTAATACAGTTCCCACATTGGTCATCCCTCATGACTTTGAGAAATGGAAGGTGTTTGATGCATTCCCTATACCTTCTTTATGTTTGATTGCCATTGATACCTTCTTGTCAGTGTGTATAATCAATCAATTACATTGTATACCATCCAATTCATCCAAAGAGCTGTGAGTTTATAATCTCTATCCTGTAAGAATTTGCTGGTATTTTCTAAGAAAAAATGTTATGAACAAATTCACAATGGAAGTTAACAAGATTGAAGATAATGATTTGCTGAAACAATTTCCCCCTCTAAACTCAAAGACTATGCAGTTTATTCAGGCAGCTGCCTTTTAATATAAAGGACATGGGCTTCTTCGAATTTTGATGTCTGCAGGGTCCTGGAACCTATTCCATGTGGACAGACAGGACCAACTTTAGTAGAAAGGGAAAACCAAGTAATAGTGTGTTGTACTATGGAAAGTTCTAAAAAAAAAAAAAAATCTTCCCATTAGCCCCAACACTAACATAAGTGTAGTCAAATTGAGATTTAGTTTGAAACTAAAATGTGTGAAAAATAAATATTTGGAGAGAAAAGAAATGAATCAGATTTATAATAACACTAATTTCACACAAATATATAGTTTAAATCACTGGTCTCATGAAGTTTCAAGTCTCAAAAGGGACTCTTCAACACTACAATTAATGTAAATGATTAGTAATTTTTCTGAAAAAATATTTTAACTGATAGTATTATGGCAGTCAAACCTTCAAAAGTATAATGTATATACACATAATTACTTCAATTGTTTCTTTAAGTGCCTATAACATACACTACTTGGAGATGGGGAGAGACCTACATTTTCAAACAGGAAACATAAGTCCATCCCAAATAAACTAATATTTATAGTTTTTCTCATCCTTACAAATTCCTTCTTGCAGGAAACAGACCTTATCCTGACATTTAATATTTCAATGCACCGATCTTGGTGGATGGAGAATGGACCAGGATGTATGGTGACATCTGTGACACCAGCTCCAGACTGGGCCCCAGAAGACCATCGATACATCACTGTCTCAGGGTGTTTTCTGGAGTACCAATACATAGAAGTGGCTCATAGTTCCCTCCAGATCATCCTCGCAGTAAGTGTTGACAGCTAACCACTCTAGTGCTTCTGGAATTATTTATTTCTGGCCAAACTCAGTGCACATCGACTCTGTGTTAAATGTGTGTGGTTTTTGGCTTTTCCAATTAATGTCACTTATAATAGGAATTTGCTGGGTTAAATCAAGTCTTTCCAAACTTGGGTATGCTGCTTTTCATCAGCAATTGACAAAGACCCCTTGATATCATCCAACTCATAAAGATTTGATTATTTTCAATGGTGGTAAACTTTTCTTAAGATTGTCAAGGAAGGTTTTCACATCTTACATTCTTCCTACCCAAGAAGAAAGATTTGAATATGTATGTTTTTCCTCTGGATGTTTCTTTTGGCTGAACTGTTAGTAAAAATTCTTTCTTCTGTTTGCCTGTCCTCTTCATTCTCCAAGATTTCACAGGTCTGTCACTTTTTATACTCCCTCCTTTTTCAGAACAATTCATACTTTCTCTAGAGTCTACCTCTAGACTTTCATGCCCCCGTATTTTATGTTGTGACAATAAAGGACCCTCATTTTATCAGGAGGCAGTGAAGTCACAAATGTCAAATTAGTGTCACAACTGCTTATGTCATACAAATGAATTATTTAAACTATTAGGATAAAGACACAAATAAAAAAATAGCTTTTCCTGAAGAAACTTAGGAAACCTAACTGTGTAATTCTGTGAGATTTAGAAAGTTTACAGCTTTGTTATACATGAACTCATGGATTGGTGGAAGTATTAAGGCAACTCCACGTAGTTAAAAGGGAGGTTTATTTTGTGGGGTAACTTACAAGTAAAGGGATAAGTTACAGGGTCCGAGAAAGGTGAAGTGCAGTCCAGGGGTGTTCTCTGAAGAACTCTGCTTGGTCTACCTCCAGTGTCCAGGATACAGGAAACAAGATAACCAGCACATCCGGATCTCAGGTCTTAAGCACTCCTGTCTCGGCCCTGCCTCATAGGTGTGATAGTTACCGGAAGCCTCCATGGGGGTTCTTCCTGGTCAAAGCTGGAGCAGCTACCCACTACACTCATGTGTTTATGTGAGCACCTAGAAATAAATAAATATATGTATATATATATATATATATATATATATATAATTTATAAAATTATAAAATAAAAATATATATATTCTTTACATTCCATATACACTTGTAATCAATGTTTACAATCTTAAACTTATTAGCAACAAATAAAATTTGTTGTTTAACTCTTTCTTCAGCTAATTACTTTGAGGGTAATATTAACTCACAATTGAATAATAAGAAACAATAAGTTATATGTAAAATGGTATCAATGTCTCTAGATTTAAGAAAAAACTCTTTTTACCATGAGATAAGATATTTATTGTAGCTGAGCTTGGTGGTGCACGCCTTTATTCCCAGCACTCAGGAGGCAGAGGCAGGTGGATCTCTGTGAGTTCAAGACTAGCCTGGTCTACAGAGCAAATTCTAGTACAGCCAGGGCCACAGAGAGACACCCTGTCTCAAAAGACAAACAAAAAAACAAAGAAACAAAAAAACAAAGCAAAACAAAAAGATATTGTGCTATCTATTTTTAAGATAGTCTGAATGTATCGTGATAGTAAACATTTTATAAACCTCTGTAATGAAAAATTTAAAAACTTATTCTTAGCCAAGCATTGTATAGTGTGGATGTAGTCTGCATACTTAGGAGGTTGATGCAGGATTTTTGAGTTCAAGGCAACTCTGAGCTATGTCCATAAACGATATCTCAAAAATCAAACACAAAACCAAACACAGACACTTTCTGTGTATGTCAGCTTGAGTTTCTGTTGGAGGCTTCAGTTGTCACATAAGAAACAAGGCTAATAGAGCCACCTCCAGCCCAGTGGTCATGAATTGCCGTGCCTGAGATCAAAATAGATGTGGAGAATCACATTGGCATACCCCTAATCTGAAGGAAGGGGTCATTGTTACAGTTCACTGTCTCCGAGTCCCAAAGGAAGAACTACAGATCTTTGCAGACAAGGCTGATGTCTAGAAATCTGAACTATGTTCTTCCTTGAAGTATTACCATTTTTTAAACACGAATTAGATGAGCCCTTTCCTCTCTTGGTGTTGTCGAACCAGTCGCTAAGACACTGCACTGTCTGAGCAATGAAGGAAGGTTCCTTCTCTGAAAAACCACAGAAGCAGCATGAGATGGGGCTTATAAGTCAGCTATTAAATCACTGAAGGTTAAGGAGATTATCCATACAGAATAAAGAAAGTGAAGATGGGAATCAGGAGAGGAATATACATGTCTTCTCTGAGAATAAGCATAGATTATTATTATTATTATTATTATTATTATTATTATTATTATTATCTCCTTTTAAGAGGCTTTGTGTTCTAATCATGGAAATGTCAACTGTGATGGCACCAAGGCGTGTGTACTTAGAGTGCAGCTAGATTACATTCAAGTTAGAGTTATCAGGTAGTCACTCTGGCAGTCATCATATATTCAATCAGTTTTTTCTAAGATGCATCACAAAGGACTTTTGATCTTCAGGCATCCTGGCTTTCAGGGATCCTGTCCTCAAAGACAAACCAGATCAACATAGGCAGAGATTCAGCGAAGTTAAGCAGACAGTGTTCTGGGTAACAAACGCGTAGAGTGCTTCCCCTGTGATTTGTCTAACCAAAGACACATCTTCAGTGAAGAAAGTCTTTTGTGACAGTTTCAAACTTGAAAACTGTTTATTTTGTTTATTGGGAGGAAGAGGTAAACTGGCTATGATGACTTACATGGTCACTTCATTCATCAAAGTCTATTCAAGTAGCTTTGCCTGAGAAAAGTAAAATACTTCTGAAATTAACAGACAGATAAATATCTTCACACAGACACATTAGAGAGGGGATTTAAACAAAATACACCTTCTGTGCAAAACATCTCATCATCTTTTACTGAGCCTACAATTTGGCAAACTTCCATCTATGTCTCAAAGATAATATGCAGATGTAATTTATGTGCATGGATAGTTATAATGATCATTTTTAGAAAGCTATTTATTTGTGTTGTGTGTATATGTAAAGACAGCTACAGTTTTATTAAACCCCATGTAAGATTTTGGCACGCAGGGAATTTCTATAGAAATAAATTGGGATATAGATGCATATGTTAAGGGTGACATACTAGCTGAAGGAAAATATATTACACAGTAAAACCAACCTTTAATGTCTCAGTGCACAGTAAACACAGGGCACAGTATACACCGTGCACAGCACACACAGTACATAGTACACACAATGCACAGTATACACAACACAATGCACGGTATACACAGTACATCATGCACAGCGCACACAGTACACACAATACAGCACACACGCACAGTGCACTGTACACACAGTGTAGAGAAGATGGAACATCTTTAAGAGCTGGTGTGACTGGCTTCTCATTTCGCCTCTCTGCATCGACTCCAGAATGGAGAAGTGGGGACCTCGCCTGTCCTTTTAACTCGTTTCTCCTTTGAGGATAGCAATGTTTGTTTTGCAGTGCTGACTGTGGCCTAGGTGAGCATGGTTAGGAAGCACATAATTAAGTTCTATATGCTTTCTGCCTTTGGGCTTGCTGTTGTTCATTTGGGCTAAAAAGTACCTGCTGTTCCCCTAAGGGCTTGTCTTGAACAAATTTCTCTACCTTAAGAACACATTTTCCTGTGGTCATTATGATCACTCCGGATACAACAATGACGAGAAAGAAATACTGTCTTGAATATCCATTCCTGCCCTCTGAATCACCCATATCATCCTTCAGATAATCAAATATTCACTTCTACTCAGTGTAGTAAACAGTTCCTGGTACTTGGCCCTATCGGCTTCTAGAAAAACAGAGAGATACAGATTTCTGTATTTGAGGATGTCACAACAAAAATGGAAATAGATTCACGATGGTACAAACCTCGTGCAGGTAGAAAGCATTGGAGATGTGGTGAGAATGTATTTTGTGCAGTTTGGGGCACAATCTTTGCTTCTTACTCTCATCCCGCATTCAGCAAAGTCAGCTAAGTACTTACTCTTGTTTGCGTCCGTCTTTGAAGCTGGCTTCCAGAATGGCTGGCTCAAATCTGCTTCTGTGAATGATTGCTCTCCCAGTTATTGCTCTTAATTAATTCCAGATCTCTCTGGCTTTTACTCTGCCATGGCTCATCCTTTCTTTCACAGATTCCTGAACCCTCAAATGCTTGTTACCCCATTGTGATTTCTGCCAATCAGCTCCTGGCTAATTTTGGAAGTAGCATTCACAAAACCCAAATTTGCATTCCACACATAGATATCTCCCATCTATGGCTAAAGGAAGGCAAGTATAATACCCCTATAATTGAGAAGAGGGGCTACTAATCATATAGCCTCCTGCTAAGCAGAAAATCCTAATGATGAGCCAGATGCCAGTCTTCCAGCTTCCTCCAGCTCTGTTGCATTCAAAAGGCATACAGGTGTGTGCAGTTTTAATAAAACAAAAAAAAAATGTTTTTCAAAGCCCCGCATTTGCAAAACACATTAAGTATGTGTGGGGAGAGCAAGATGGAGATCAACTGGGGAATGATGTTTTCATGTTACAGACAGACTTATAGGATTCCTTAAGCAGTGTGTGACTGATAGTGCAAAGATTAGAAAGCACACTCCCAAAAATCTATGCTTTTGACCATGCAACAGTCCCTCAAGGTAGCAGAACAGGTTAAAAGCCTTTGTTCACATATGTAGTTGGTTAAAGGAGAGTAGCCATGCTCCAATAGCAAGGAAAAGAAATAACCTTCAACATGAACGCTGTTACCAACTGATGAGTAATGGATACTTGAAGTCCAAAACTCCAGAGTCTGTCTGGGCAAAGAATCCTATGATTGATGAGCTACATCTCCCATGTGGGAGAGGAGTTGGTGTCTATGAGCCTCATATTCATTATGTTCACATTAGCTTCACTCCTGTAAGCAACACCGTGGCTAAAAAATTATAACATACAATAATGTTATTTTAAAGGAAAAGATTTATTGTAA